GGACTTCAACTCCCAGAATCCCCCAGCCAGCATTCGCTGGCTGGGGGATTCTGGGAGTTGAAGTCCGGACATCTTCAAGTGGCCAAGGTTGAGAAACACTGTCCTAAGGACAATCAGTGGAACTCCAGAAGTGGTGGCTACTTCATCACTGGAGGCTTTTAAGAAGAGACTGGACAGTCAGGTTTCCTGCTTAAGCAGGGGGCTGGACTAGAAGACCTCCAAGGTTCCTACCAGCAATATTTTCCTTCTTAATTCTGAAATCCAGAAATCTTAAAAGTTGACCTCCTTGGTCTATGCAGTTAATTATTTCCTTTTTTTTTTTAACCTAGCGTGTGTTTTCATCCTACTGTGGGTGCTCTCCCCCCCCCTTCTCTCTTCCTGTGCACTATTAAAATCTAGAGATGGTGGCAGGATGCAAACTTTAGAAAAAGATGACCCGAAGAGCGACCGATGGGAAAACGCTTCTTGCGACCGCCTGTCGACCCAGGCAGCCGCGTTTAATGCAGGGAAAGATGAGCTTCTGGGAGAGAGAGAGGAGGAGGAGGAGAAGGAACTGGCCAGCCCGCTGCCCCCCCCCCTTGGGGAAAACCGGATTTCCACCCATTGTCCAGATTTGGGGGGGGGGGCGAGTGAAGAGACTCCCATCATCCCCTGCCGTGCTTTCCTGGAGAAAAAGCGGCGGGGCCCCCAGCGGAGGACCAACCCCTCCCCGCAAAGCAGAGGGGGGGCAAGGAAGGGGGGGTAGGAAGGCGGGCGCCTCCTTCACAACAGCCCTGCCAGGTAGACCAGCGGCGCCTCCTGGTGAAGCCGCCCCGCCCTCGCCTTTCGGAGCAACACCGCCGCGGCCAATCGCTGGGCGCGCGCGCCGCCATTGGGCAGATCGAACGCAGGGAGGCCTCCGATTGGCTGCGCCGCGCCAGCTTTGCAACATTCAAACTCGCGCAGCGGCCGCGGCCGAGAAGGCGGAGGAAGCGCGGAGCCAGCCGGGTGAAGCCTCTGCCTGCCTCTCCCTCCATGGCCTCGCAGAACGACGACCCCGGCGCCATCGCCCGCGGACCCAGCAAGGCGGCCGAACCCGGCGGGGTCGCCGCCCGGGGCTCGGTCCGCAGCAGGTGGGGCGGCCGAGGGGTCGGGCACGTGCGGCGGCGCCTCCTCCTTCGGCCCCTGCGGCCCGGTCGGGGAGCCGCTCCCGCCGCTAACCGCTCTCTTTCTCGCCCCGCAGGCTGCAGCAGGAGCTGATGGCCCTCATGGTGAGTCTCCCGGGGGCTCTGCACGGCTTTCCCCGCCCGCCCCCTGCCCCGCGCCCCGCAAGCGGCCGAGGGGGATCGGCGCTCCCGGGGCCTCTTTCCTGATCCCCGCCTGCCTTTCCCCCGCAGATGTCCGGAGACCACGGCATCTCCGCCTTCCCGGAGTCGGACAATCTCTTCAAGTGGATCGGGACCATCAACGGCGTGGCTGGGACGGTGAGCGGGCCGCGGGAGAGGGAAGGCGGCCTTGGGCCCCGCGGCCGTCGCCTCCGGTCGCCCCGGGCGGCATTTCACGCTCACGCAAATAAAGCGGCCACCCAGGCTGCCAAGCGCGGGAGAAGCGCAGATGGGGGGGGCTCCTCCACCCCACTGGCCTGCAGGCGTGGGGGAGAAGGGCTTCCTGATGGCCTCGAGGGAGCCCCTTGTGGTCGTCTGCAGTTCCTGGGGTGGGGGGGGAGATCCCGCCTTCCTTTGTCCAGCCGGAACCCTCTCTGGCTGTTGGGGGAGGGGTTTCTGGGCAGACGCCCCCCCCCCCTTTCATCTTGCAGAGACGGGACAGCCCAAAGAATTCCTGGTGGTGCTTCATGCGATGGGCTTTCAGGCAGAAGAGTGGGGGGGGGGGGCCACGGCCAGGGACCAGGCAGGAAAAGACGGGGAGGGGAGGGTCCTGCCTGGCCTTTTAATCTCCCCTTCCAAACGCAGGTCTATGAGGACCTGAGGTACAAGCTGTCCTTGGAGTTCCCCAGCGGCTACCCCTACAACGCCCCCACTGTCAAGTTCCTCACCCCTTGCTACCACCCCAACGTCGACCTCCAGGGCAACATCTGCTTGGACATCCTGAAGGACAAGTGGTCAGCTCTCTACGACGTCCGGACAATCCTGCTCTCCATCCAGAGCTTACTGGGAGGTGAGAAAAAGGCTCCTGGAATGGGTGGGGGCTAGTAGGAGAAGAAAGATCCCTCCCCCCCCCCCTCAGCCCTGGAATTCCCACTGGAGCATCTGAGCTGCACCCCAAGAATTGGGAGGGGATGCCACCCCAGGGCTCCCGTTGCCTGGTTCCTGGCAGAAGAGCCATGCCACTGGGCCTGTGCCAGGGGTGATGCCAAGCCCGCCCACCGTCCCTGGCAGAGCAGGGTTTTTCCCCGGTGGCAGGGAGGAGGGGGGGTGGGGGTGATCCTTTACCAAACGTGTTTGGGGACCTTCTCTGCCACTCCAGAGCCAAACGTGGAGAGTCCCTTGAACACGGAGGCTGCCGAGCTCTGGAAGAACCAAGCAGGTGAGTCGGCCAAGGCAGTTTGGACCGGGCTGGGGGGGGTGGCGATGCCAGGGTAGAAACCAGGAGTCGGAGAGTTCTAGTCCCGCGTTAGAAGAAAAGCGCCAAAGGTGCCTTTTTCTCAGGAGGCAACTGGACTTTCTGGTTTTTCTTTGAAGACGTTTCCCTTCTCATCCAAGGAGCTTCTTCAGCTCTGACTGGATTTGGGGGGGGGGGCATGAATGGAAGGATTGCAGGTGCTTAGAAGGTTACAATCTTGGAAGACTGTACACAGTGAGACATAGACGCTCAGAAGGAAAGGCAGCTGGGTAGCTTTCACCCAATCCCCTGGGGGCTCTGAGTTCTAGTCCTGCCTCAGGCACCAAAGCCAGCTGGGCTCCTCCCCTCCCTCCCTCTCTCTCTCTCTCTCACACACACACGCTCATTCGCACACACCACCTTGCTGTTGTGAGGAAAATAGGAAGAAAAAGGGGTATCCGGCGTCTTTGCCATCTTAGTTTCCTATAAAGTAAATAAAGGTGGGATAAAATTCTAAGCAATAAGAACCTTTGGAAAGACAGAGAGAGAGAGGGCGGAGGAGAGAGCGAGAGCATTCATGGAGAGTTACAGAATGCAACTTGAGTTGTTGGGGGGGGCTCCTTTATTTCATTTTAGGAGCCTTCATGAGGACTTGGATCTTGCTTGTCTGAAAGCACCTGGGTTCCTTTTTTTGTCTTTTTGGGGCATCCGCTCCGTGCTGCTTTACTGTAGAGACAGTCCTCGGTTTATGGTAGTTTGCTTACGGACAACAGCACTCACAAAAGTGGCTTAGGGCCATTTCCCACACTCCTTTTGCAACTTTCTGGCAAGTCGAGTCACGGGGAAGCCAGATTCACTTAACGACCGTGTGGCTGACTGAAAAACTGCAGTCATTTGGTCAACCAACGCGGCACAAGGAAAATCGCAGAATGGGGCAAAACTCAACAAATTTCTCACTTAGCAACATAAATTTAGATTAGATTTTGGGCTCGGTTGTGGCAAGTCGAGGGCTACACGTATAGATTTTTACAGCTGCACAATTGCATGGAGAGGGGAGCAGGCACACAATTGTGCAAAAGAAGGACCGTGCCTTGGTGCCTTTGCCCAGCTGTGGGGGGGGGGGACAGGATTTGATGCCCAGAAAACCCTTGGCTGAATTTGCCTCCCTTTCCAGCCTTTTTGCCTATACTGAGACCCCCACTCCCCCCAAGCCTTCTCCTCCGGGGTCCTTAACCTGCCCCCCTTGTCTCCTCACCC